AATCTACAGAGAAGCTTTCTTTTGTACTGTGTTAGAAATATCAAATAGCTCATACTCTACAATGTAAAACAATCTTTTCATGTTCATCCTACTACTTCCTCTGCCTCATTAAATGCACCAGTAATCTGTTCTGTGCATACTGAGTAATCTTCAAAGTAAGAAGCTAATAAATCACAATTTAATACAAAATTAAAAGCATAGCAATTTTACCATAACATGTTGCTGATAATGTTTTGGATCTTTTTAATGTTTTTGTATACATTTTACAAACATAGATTTTTAAATCTTGTTTACAGTTTCAAGGGAACTTTTCCTTTTCCTTCCACCATTGCCCCCCAAATCCCTATTGTTACTTGGGCATTTTTTCTCCACCCAGTGGTAGAGCTCAAGGAATGACCCAAACATTGGACAAAACTATTTCTTTTTTTGTGTAAAGAAAAAAACCTACCCCAGGAATAGCATATAAGCCTGGTCTGGATCATGATACAAGCTTTTTTTTTTATTTTAAGAGTGTGATAGCAGTATCATAAGTGTTGAGAAAATATAAATGGTGAGATAACACCTCTGCAGGACTTTCTCTTAAGTAGTAAAATTGTAAAGTCTTTAAATAAACTAGAGCCAGACCTGAGAGGATCAATTTATCTTGATAATGGGGAATATTTCATTTATTTTGTGTACAAGAACATCTGCAAAATAGGTACATAATTATGATTAATAAACCTGCAATTCTAATATTAGATTAATTGTGCAACACTTTGCAATAAGAGTCAATATGAAAGTGCTAAGTGTTGTTATAATCTGAGTCTGCAAAAAATGAACTTTAAGAAATAGCCTTCATGCTGCATACAGTTCCTACACTGAAAATAATAATGATGATGCCTTTGCATTGTTATATCAATGCAGATTCCATGCAGCTGGTTGTCTGGAGATAAGTCCCAAACACTTCTCTTCTTGCTCTTCTCTTGCTTTTGCACATGTAAAGACTTCCATGTTTGCAGAAATAAATAATTAATAATCTAATATTTTTAAATTTTAAAAAACCTTTAAGAAATCCCCTACAAATGTAACTTGTTTGCTGGTTGTTCCCCTATATTAAATCATTAAAAAATAAAAACTTTCTGATTATCTTTATTATCTTTAATACTTGGGGCAGGGCATTTCAATTTTTTCCATAAAGTCTTTCCTTTACATATATGTAAGTGAAACTTTTGCAGTCCAACACACAGATTTTGCCATTTTGAGTCAGCCCAGTGCAGACCAGCCTACCTCTCCTTGGAGGCAGAGGGATCTTGTAGGCTACGTAAAGAACAGTTGCATCTTAAATATGGTGCATTGTTTTTGTTGTAGGTCTGCAGACGCTGACATTAAGAATGTTAAAATTAACTTTGGTTTAATGGTGTAGAAGAAGATTATTATCTCTATGTAGCAGAGTTGTGGCTCTGTGTTATGTCGTCCCTTTGAGTCAAAATCCTACAAGTTTTTAGTTTCATTATATAGGAGCAAATACTTCTTGGACCTATGAATATGTTCTAAGATGAAAATGGGCAGTACCCTGGCTTTTTATTTTCTTTTTTTTTAATTAAGAAGGGCATGTATGAGGACATCTGTCAGTGGACCTCCAGCAACTTTGTTGTAACTAACTTCCTGGCAAAGTATCTGGTCTTTTAAAGTTTGAAAATCAGCACTTCAATGTGCTGATCATTGCATGTGCCCCTCTGCTCGGATAGATGGAGAAATCATTTAGCCAGTCTTTATTCTGAGATAAGTGAACTGTTACCCAGTTTCACTTCAGTTTCCACCTGCTTCCTGTATTATTTTGTAGTAAGTTATAAAACAGCTGGGAGGAAAAGGCTATTAAAAATACTAAGGAAAAACATTCTTCTTAGATACCGACTATTTTTCAGCAAAGATTTATGTGGACTGCAAATATCTTTGTAAATAAAATTCTTTACTAGGTCAACCTTCTGTATCTTCTACCTAAAAATAATTCTTGATACTTCCAACATTGTTTGTATAATTCTGTATCTGAACAGAATTATACAAAGACTTGAAATAGAATTTTTATATAAAAAGCCCCAGGGGTGTCCAGGCAGCTTTGGAAATAATTTTAGGAGGCTTTTAAAAGCACTTTCTTCCACTGTTCTGTGACCTTATGTGTGCCGGGATCTACCAAAGCAACCAGTTTTGCCCTTGTTCTCCGTGTCCTGCTTCCTCAAGTAGGTAAGTTGAGATATGGAGAGCCAGTGAAATATTCCCCTTGGATCCTGAGCAGTGTAGATCTGGAGGTGCTGAGGACCGAACTCAGCAGCTTCTCTGAGCTGCTCAGGGCCCAAGATGTGCTCTGCTGAGGAAGGGCTCATCGCTGTCCTCAGCCACAAGGTCCTCATGTCCATCCCAAGCAGATCACCTCTGTGTGGCAGCATGCAGGTTACCAGGTGAGAACTGGCAAAACTGAATTGCTCCGGATTCAAATATGGTTGTTCAGCCAAAAGCAGACCTTTGTCTTGGCAGAGATACTGTTTGGCCTTAGATACTCGGTTGGTTTAGAGATGGTACTAAACTGCAAGCTTGCTTTAGCTAAAATTTCTCTACGTGGTTGTAATGGCCAAAAAGTAATGAGATTTAAAATTCTCAAAACTGTGCCCAAAACTCATTTTGGATTTGTCTTGCAACAGAAGCACAAAGCTTTCTTCGTGAGAGAGAGGAAGGTGGCAAAATCTGGCCTCGAATCAGTGCTGAGCTGTGCAGTGAACTGTTCCTGAGCTGCAGCCTGGAGAAGAGTCCTTTGCTCTGTGTGCATCCCCTCAGACACGGCGCATGGCACGGAGGAGAGCCTGTGGGGCTGACCTATGTCAGATACCATGTCCTGAACCAGAACTGCTGCAGGTGAAAGAGGAGTCCATCGCCAGTTTCCGTGGTAACTGGGAGGCACCTGCAGCTCTCTGACGCAGTACTGGATCTGTGCATAGAGCATTCAGGGATGGACATATGTAGCTATCCTGGCAAAGCCTCGGCAGGGTTCATTTTGGGGAGGGCAAGCTTTTTTTCCCCTTTCTAACACGGCATTTTCATTCCTGTTGTCTTGAGCTCCGTCCCTCATTTTATTTAGCTTGTATTTGTGAATATTTGGGATAACTTTTATTGTTTGTTTGAAACGTTTCTTTCTGTTTTGTTACAGTCTGCCTTGGATTTGCAGACTCACCCAAATTTGGATCTAGTTTTGCTGCAGCCTGAGGTTGTGCGTTGGTAGCTTGCTACTTGGGAGGAGAACGAAAACATTATATTAGCTTGTAAAGTTATGGAAAGCCATTTGCTAAAGTTATGAAGATTGGATGATGGGGAAGATTTCAAAAAGATCAGTTTTGCTCTGAAAAGAGCGCTTGTTCTTTGTGTCACGTGCAGTATCAGGAAGCCGGGTTGTTTGAGTGTGAGACCAGGCTCCCTCACGTTCTGATCACCGCCCGTAGCCGCTAAAGTGTTAAACTACACTGGGTTTGTAATCAGATCCTCTGTATCCGCTCCTCTTGTGGTATCTTGCTGTGCACCCTGTAGCTTTGGTCTACAGTGCAGATATTGCTCGAGTGAGGAATGAGTGGTGATTGATTGTCAAGATTACGGAGATGGAGATTAATTCTTGGTTTGAGATTAGATCTGGAACTGTTGTGCGCTATTTGTGAGATTATTCTCCAGACCAGTTGTTCTAACACTCTTTGTGCTGCTCAACATTGAGATGTTTTGTTTCATGAAAGATTTGTGAGTAAGACAGGACATAATTTTAAAAAAATGGAACATTTTCCAGACTCCTGTAAGGTTTCTGTAAATATCTGTAACTAAACCTATCTTGGACCACAGTCCTCAACGTGTCTGCCAAAGGGATTTTTAAAGTGCTGGGGAGGGGTAGTCAGGTTTTGTGTGCTCGTATGAGGGTACCCAATATGCTTTAACCTGCTCATTTTTTTCCCTCCGTTGTTAAATATCAGCAAAGTTAAAGCTAGAGAGCTGGAAGCAGTTTTATCACTCAGCAGCGGTGCCTGGCCACGTACCGCAAGCGGGGTCTTCTGAAGCCAGGGAATGCTTGCAATTGCAGTTTGGGTTTTGTTCACTGGGACATCACGCCTTTAACCAATCAAGATTGGTGAGCTAACAAGTGAGAGGGACCTCCTGTTGTCTTCAGTCTTTTTTTTACTTCACAGCTTCCAGAAGGAATGATTACTGCAAAAAAAACTTGCACAGCACTTAAGAAAGTGCCTGTAGAGAGCAGAAATCAAATTGGTCACTAGACAAACCATAAGCTTTCAAAGGCTTCTGATGTTTTTCCCAGAAAAAACAAAGGACATTTTCAGAAATGTGTTAATAGGTATGATTTTTCTGAGATGCTGATATAGGGACATTCAATGTAAACAGTTCAGGAAAAAACAGAAGATTCACTGTTTAAAACCAAAGAAACATTTTTATAACCTAATAACACATTTCTTGTGTTGTTCTGAGCTTATGCTGCATCATAAACTTTAGCTATCCAGAAGCATCCTCAAAGTTGTGCATGTGTATTTGGATGATTTTATGTCTAAAATTAAAACAGATACCAAATGAGATCTTAGAATCCAAGCGTGGTTGTTAATAGATACATTTGAGCACAGGTTACAGTGTCTTCCCAACTGGTAATTAACTGGTTAAGTTAAACCCTTTTATTGTATACTTGAATCTGGTACATTTTCAGGTGGCCCGTGGTGCTGTTACCAGTGTAGGAGGTTGGGTGCTGTGCTGAAGCACATTTTAAGTGTTCATCAATAATACATAGTTAAGTAAAGTAGTTAAGACATCAATTCTTTGCAAAGATCTGTGTAAGTTTGGCAGCATAAGGACACTTCAGATTGTCATCAACACTTCCAGCACACTACTTTTTTTTTTTTAATTATTTTATCAAAAGCCTACTTAATACAGCCGCAGAGTATTAAGCAATACTTAATTCTGTTTGTGTTTTTTTCTTTTTCTTTTCCCAGCATTTACTAAGTGCTGTCAAGAAACTGGTCTTCTTATGGTGGTGAAGTGTCGGCGAGAGAACACAGCACTGAAGGATTGTCTGGTTGGCTAGTAAGTCCCTCTGGAGTGTTTGTTAGTGTTTTGTTACATGGCCTATTTTAATCTAGAAATGAGTAGAACCTTAAATCTTCTCAAGAGGGTTTTGCCATGTTAGTGACTTTGATGTATTTTCTGAAAGTTAGATCTTCACTTTAAAAAAAAAGTGTGGGGATGTGGGTGAGCAGTAAAGCACCTTCCTGCCTTGGAAGTGAGACAGGATAAGTTTGTTTTGATTCTGCTTCTTGAATTGTTTTTAAAGATTTAGTCTTGGTCCTGAAAGCGTCCTTCTGCTGGGCACAGCAATAGCAGCAGCAATGGGACATTGTTGGGTATTAGAGAAGTCAGCTTGATGCCATGGGGGAATCAGTTGTCTCTTTTGGTAGTCCTAATTTATCCCCAGTGCCATCAGCTAAAGGGTTAGATCTTCGAATTTCCCAGGGTGAGGGCTGGGGATTTTTTTTTTGAGTTTGACTGGGGGGAACTGAAATACCAAATATCTTTTTTCTGCCTTCCCTCTTCATGGCTTCACTGCAGAGGCTTGAAAAGGACTATGCCTCGAGAGAGAACAGTATTGTCAGAGAATGCAAACCAACTAACTCAGTATTTAGAGTTTATTTTAGATAACTGAAACCACTTACCTACTTTATAAAAAAAAGGTATTTTATTATTGAACTCAGGAGACTTTTCTTTGGGTGTGAAAGGAAAATCAGTTCTGAGTGTTATTAATGAAATATCTGTTCCATATTCTGAGATGAAAACTGGTATTATGCATTTGTCTCTCTTGTAGCTATTCTGATCCATTATTCTACGAAGAATGCAAAACAGAATATTTGAAGCAAAGAGAAGAATACAGAGCAACTGGAATTAAGAAAAAAAGGCAGAAGGTTACTTCAAATGTATAGTTAAAATGAACTTTTCAAATTTTATATCCAACTTTGATTTGACTTGATTTAAACAGACTTAAATCATCTGTACCCCTCTGTGTGGAATTTAACTGAAATACACAAAATAAGATGAATGGAGAATAAAATAACCTCTGAACTTAAAAGTAATTTTTTTTTTTTAATTTTCTGTAATAAAACATATAAAGCATGCTCTCACAGTTTGCAAGAGAAGTTGCAAAGGTCAGTTCCTTTGTCTGGACTTGAGCTATTGTTACCGATTTACAGACAGCCTTTTGGAATTTAAAGCTTGTGTCTAGTTAAAAACTTCAAGGTGAATAGTTTAAATTTTATTAACTGGTCACAAATGGGCTATACGTTAAAATTCATCTGTTTGTCATCTGAAGCTGAGGGGATGCAGAGTTGCTCTTGATGCTCTTTACTAGAAGAGAAGGGTGGCAAATGCAGAAGAGAAGAACTTCTTGGACCAATCTGATTTGTCTTTTTCATTAAGATCTTGAGTCTCGTGAGAGGCTGATAGTACTTTTGCCTACACTGTGCCTCATTTTTAAGTCTATGTTGTCAGAAGAGATGGATGCCCCGTGCCTGTGTGTGGCCCAGACTGGCCCTTTTGACTAGAGGAAAAGTCATCTGATGGAGACCTTCCCCGAGAATGGGAGAAGGCACGTTAAGGCCTGGTGACTGAGAGGAGTGTCCTCCCCTGCTCTCCTCTGGCAGAGCAAAGACAACTGGATAAGCTTCCATGCTAAAGGAGTGAGCGAGTGACCACGCGTCCAGAATTAGGGGTAGAGGTAAGTCAACAAGGTACGTAAGCTGCAGATCACTTCTCGCAGAAACAAAGTGTAAGCAAGTCCCTGTTTAAAAAGGGACATACAAAGGAGCTTTTGTTTACTGGTGCTTGGAACTGCTTAATTGTAGAACTCTCAGACGCATAAATGGCTTCACTAGAGATAGTCTGTAAAACTTTATATTACTATTTTGGAGTATCTTTTGAAGCATTTTGAAAAAAAGAATTTCTTTACAAGTAAGGAAAGGCTGCACTTAGAAAACTTAACTCACATGGTAACTTTAATGCCCTGATTTAAAAAAGAAATAAATATTTGTTTGAGTAAGGAGTAGGATTTGTTACTTTTCCATCAGAAGATGCCAAATTTGACTTGTTTTTTTTAGTACTGTTTCACCACAAAACCAGTGCTGCTCTGAAGCTCTTCAAGTAGGAAGTTCAAATCAGACTTCGAGACGCATATATATGAAGTCCTTAAGTTAATGTCACAGGTTAGTCCTTGCCCTTTATTCTGTGCCTATTACTGGAATAATCAATAAGAATGTTGCTTCTCCATTGCCTGGAGGACTAGGGAATGAAAAACCAAAAAGCTGTGTAACATTTTGCCTCATTAGGCAAACTCCAGCGATACTCAGCTCTCAAACTAACCACTTCATTTTAAATAAACTTTCCTACACATGTGTTTGGTTTTGGCTCCTTGATTCAAGCATTTTGGAAAGCAAAAATAATCCAAATCAGTTAGTGGCAAATGAGTTGCTTCCATGTCTATATTTAAAAAAGAGGAAACTTAAGTTACACAGTGAAGTGGTTTTTTATGGATGGCAACTGTTCTGTTACCCGTTATGAAGATCTGCTATGTTTTCAGTCTCCGGGAAGCAAGCCTGGGTGTAATTTTTGTCAAAAGCACTTCCAAAGAGGATTTGTGCTGGAGTGAGCATTCCCTTGGAGGCAAGTGCTGTCAGTGATACGGGCCTGCAGGGAGGGCTCACACGTGGGGACATGGACAACAGCACCAGCACTGGCTTTCTCCTTTTCTGACTTAGCAGAAAGTTCGCTCGGCAGGGGAGGGGGATCCCCAGCACATTGGCTGGCACTGCTGAGGAGGAGTTCATGCCTCTCGTGGAACAAAGCCCAGTTTAACCTGCAGGTATTACTCCACCAAGTTCTATACATTCTGTATATGAAGGACCAACAACTCGCTTCTGCCCTGACAACCAAGTTCTACTGTCAAGCCTGAAACTGCAGGTACTGAATTATACTGTCAGCCATGTATTTCTTTTTACCTACACTCCTCTGTGTGTGTAAGGAAGAGCTGGGTTGTTGCAGCTCCCTGTTTACCACAGCACGCACTTAGAGCTGGGCTTCCTCCTTGGCTCTGGCATCAGCTTCCTCTGCAATCCACACATGGCCTCCATGTGATCTTATCTAGCTCTGAATTCTTCATTTCACACCTTTCACTTCTTTTCATGTCTTGTGCAGTGTCCTGTACTTTAACTGTATCAAAGTTTAAATGACAGGATTAGTACTAGGAAGTAACAAACCCATACTAATTGGTAATTGCTTTCAGTTTTGTTTTGGTCTCAGCTGCATCCTCTCCTTCCTGTGTAGGTTCTAACAGGAAGCAGCCCTATCAGTGTAAGTAACCATCAATAGTATGGGCAGAGCCTTAAGCTGTCTTTCAGCAGTGAACTGCAAGCTTTTTTGCTACATGTTGAATATTTTTTAAAAAGCACTTCTGCATCCGTGCAGACATGCAGTGCTTCAGCTCACCATCTCCATCTAAACCAGGGATTGCAACTCTAATTAACAGTCCCTAGGTGTTTCTTTAGATGTTTTCTCATTTTGAAATCAATTCTGCGGCATTCTTAGCCATTATTATTCTGCGTAGGCGGAGACAATTGGTGGAATTAATCTGGGTGTGTGCCCAGTGTTTCCAAGTTAGTGGATGAAAATAGAAAGGTTACCTGGACTGCAGAGGCTGGCTGACCCCGTGGAGTTAGTCCCTAAGTCTGAATGTGGCAATGCTGCTGGCCCCCCCGTGGCACTACTGATTGACACTGATGGAACGAGGTCTTGCAGCTGGAAGACTGCTCTGTCACCCAGCCCTCTGGCACGGCACAGCAAGGCCACTGTCACAGCTTCACAGCTTCTGCGGCAAAGGGGCCTGTCTTTGCCTCTTCCTAGCCCTGGGGAGAATTCAGCAAGCACCCAAGGCACCCACGTTTTTCAGGCTACGTTCTTTCAGTGTGTTAAAGCTCTCTTCAGACTCCTGGGAGAAGCCCCCTACACATGTGAAATCTAAAAGGAAGGAGGAAAAGGGTGTCATATACTTACTTAAAAAGTTTGTCTTCATAGAGTAAAATGGAAAAGAGTACTCTTTTACTCTTCATAAAGTAAAAATTAAAAAAAGGAAAGATGAGCAGCAGTATGTAATGCACAGGGTTTCCAAAGAGTGGTGGAACCACCTCCCGTTGCAGTCTGGGACATCCCCAGGCCATAAGCCAGGAACCCATTCTGCCTCGTGTATTAGTACAGCCACACTCCTCCTCAAGTAACTCCTGTGTCCTCTGTTTACTCTGATGGTCCAAAAATGGCCAAATACAGTTGAAATATGTGTTCCATCTAGTTAAGGATCAGTCCAGTAACAGTAAGCACCTGGTTCTTTCTTTCATGTTTCTCCCCTAGAACAAATGTCCATACTCAAACACCATCATCTTACCACTTCATTACAGTATCTTGATGTTTGAATCACTTTGTCTCTTCCATCTTAAAATACAATGAAATTAATTCTGCTGGACACTCGTCTTGGTTCACATCACATTTACTACAGAGAACAGATTTTTTTTTTGGTAATGGTTCAACTGCAACTTGATTAAAATTAGGGTTTACCCTTTGCGTAGATTAAAAAAAACCTAAATACTTTTGTCCACTGTCCTGTGTTCATACAATTGCAAGCAGCACACTGCTGCCCCTGCAGACAGGATCAAACACCTGACCCCTAAAAAAACCTCAGAAAACCCCAAACCAGACCCAAAATCCCACATGCATTTTTGTATTCAAACTACACAAAGCACCAGGGAATGGTCTTACCGCTCTGCAGCCACTGGTCCCCACGGGGCATCTCTGAAGATGAGCAGAGGATGCAGCCAGGCAGGCAGGTACCCGAGCGTTTCACTCCTCCTTTACCCCAGCATGAACAATCCAGGTGTCTGAGCCCGGGAGTCTCAAAAGTCTGCTGCAAGTTGGTTTTGAAATAAAATTAAATCTGCTTTACACCACCTGCATATTTCATATTCTACTTGCGTGGGCCTGTGTTCCATGACTGGGAATGGGTATTGTCTTACTGTAACTCCACCAGATGGCCAGTTCTGCTCCTGTCTTTTTCCAGCTGTAAAAATGTGACAGTGCATCACAGCTAATTTGGAAGTTTGCTGTCTTAAATATGGCTAATTCACCTAAGAGGAAAACTAATCAGCTGTAAACCTACAAAACTGGCAGGGAAACTTAAAATGGTCAGATTTTAAAAATATTTAAAGTGAAGCAAACAGTGGAAATTTACATATGAGTTATCAGCAGGTTAGTCCAACTCTCCAAATACATATTCATCAGCTTGCCATATGCTCGCTTCAGTGTGCAAAGCGACAACCTCCTCCTGCCCCAAAAGCTGTCTGCCTTCCATTCCTGGTCAATGGAATTAGTGCTGTCTTAAATTAAAAATTGTCAAATCAGTGGGTTGGGTGAAGTTTTAAAACATTCAGAGCTTGCATCAAGTTCATTTTTGTGTGTGTCTTTTACCACACACTTTATGCAGTTTTGCAGTTTAACGTAACAAATGCACGTGTGCACACAAACCACCAGAACCCCCTTTACTTCAGTCTGCGTGTAATTTGCTGTCGCTGGGATGAAAAGCTTTCACTTCTGAAAATGGAAAAGGCACCACGAGCCCGTAGTGGCATGGATTTAAATGACTTTTCCATCTCGAGTCAAAATGTGATTGTATGCTTCGGACCAGCAGATGCCTCACGAGCCAGCTGGCTCCCAAGCGGCTTCCGATCTGGGGACCTCCTTTTCAAATGTTGGGCTTGGTGGCAGCAAGGAGGGACTGGATGGAAGTGCTGCCTCCGGCCAGCTCTCCCTCAGCCTGCCCTCCCTCCTCACGCCGTTCTTCTGGAGCCTCTCAGCAAACACCACCGCTCCCTCCTGCCCAGGAGGCACCACAAGAGAAACCCAGAAGCAAAGGCAACACCCAGAAATTCTCAGAGACTGCACAGAGAAGCTTAACTTTAAGTCTCCCTGTGACACAGGACAGGCTGACCCGACCACCAACCTTGTGACACAAGTGATCAGACCCCAGGAACACCCCGTAGCTTAAGGTAACTTACGTCCTTCAGGGTTCAACATCCAAGAGAATGCTTTTCCCAGAATACCCGGCAGCAGCCTACAGAGGATGTTTGGGTTTTTTTTTCTCCTGAATGGAAGAAGAATGAACCTCAAATTTAATTGTTTATATTTGGAATGACTTGATACACATTCAAGAAACTGAGTAAAAAATTTTGTGCCAAATACAGAAAGGAGATTTGTAAGTGAAACCAATACCAAACAAAAATAAATTTATTTAAAATCTTACACAGTAGAATTCCTTCATTGCACAAATCAAAGTATTAATCATGTTGATGTCTGTTGGACATTATTTAATAAAAAACCCCTCTGTAACATTGAGGTGGGGAGCCCTGAAAAGTAAGCTACAGTAGAAGTAGATTCCGTGTAGCTTATGCAGCCACATGAGAAATGTTTGCTGCTGCTTTGTTATTACACAGGTAGTTGGTTTTATCAGCTAAAGCCTAGTGACTTGGATTTGTTTTATGCATATTGGGTTTTGTTCTATTACTTTCCAAGAGATTGTACTCCCCTGAGTCAGCTGTGTTCATTGGTCAGAATAAATTCCAGCATCTGACACCATTTCCATTAATCACAGACAAGCCAGTATACGTGAGCAAGATAATAGAAAGATAAAAACAATATCTGGTGCATGGGAAACATTACTTATGTATGCTGTTCACTAATATAGTAGAAGGTATCTGGAAGGCATTTTTTTCACCTTTGATAGACAAACCGAGCAAGGAGAAGATGAGGGGCATCACATGAAGTACTTACTCCAGAGGGAGGAAAGTGTCTGGAGAGACACAGGTCATGCAGCACCTTGGTAACGCTTTTCCAGCCCATCATCACCAGGGCTATGCTACAGCCATAGCTTCCCCATGTATTTGCAAGCAATTTTAAGATAATTTGCTACTAAACAGCTGTGAAATTAATTTTTATTACACTGATCTTAAGCTGGACCTGTGAAGTTGAGCACTTCACCCACCCACACATCTTTAAATAACATACTAAGTATCTTCCCACCCATTACAGGTTTGATATCGTGGATCTACAATACAAAGCATTTGCTTCAATGTATTAAGCAGTCAAGGCATTTCACTTCACCCCGTTGTATTAAGCCAGATATGGAGGAGAACAGGTTTTTTTCATAAAAAAAGGCATAAATTGTATTTGTCTAAAAAGAGTTCGTGGCCTTAAGAGAAAAAAAAAATAGTACTTAGACACCCATAATCTACAAAGCAGGCAGCTCAATTCAAATAACACTAGTTCTCAGTGGCATCCTAAAGATACCACAACAATACTTGTTATGTCTATCACCAATGCTACACCACCCAGGCTAATTAAATTAAGGCTTTGTTTCTTTAATAAAAGAAAAGTTAGTAGCCTTCACCACCACACAAGTCCCAAGTCAGGGTTGAGCACTGTGCAGGAGGCACAATAAGGGGAACTGCACCGGGGAGAGGATGATCCTGCGGCGACACCGCATGAACTGAGGGCAACGGGCTGAACATCCAGGAGTGGGTGTTCAGCAGCATTACTTACCATCCTGTATGAGTCAGTCACAATCAAGCCCAAAATGGTGCAGTCTAAACAGGACAGCCTAGGAATGAGTCTCCTCTTGCCACTAATATAAATCAAAATTTTGTCAAAAATAACCCCTTACCTTTCTTGGTTAAAAAATTACATAAAAATGCATTTCTAAACCAGCGGAATCAGAAAGTTAACTGAAAGGAGGAAGGGAGAGACAAGTGTCAGAAAATAAGCTCGGAGCTGGTATAAGTTTTAACACAGGATACCAAGTATTTTCTGGAGAGCGTACAAATAGCAAACAAATACAGAACTGGATAATTTTGTTTTATTCCAAGAACTCACCCTTCAGTGTAATCTTTTGCAAATGTGTGGCATTTGCAGTACAAGACTATCTAGGTCCCATTCTAGATTTCTTTATATTTACATTATACCAGCACAGCTTTAACTTCAAGGAACTTGCTCCTGATTTACAGCAGAGGAAGACTAGGCTTTCTGTTTCAGAACTAGAATTAAAAATAAAGAAAAAAAAACACATTTCAGGCAATTTGTTTTCTCCTCTTTAAAAGTTCAAGCGTTAAGGTGCCTATTCAGAACCATTCTAAAAACGCCTCAGTTCATTCAAAAAAAAATTGTTTAACTCTTGTGCAGACAGTTTTGATTACACTGATCCAGGTAATCTGCTGGACAGTTTAACAAAGTTGTTTTGTTTTTCATTTCCCAAAACACATTCTCATTAGGCTTTGGAGGACTTGGGAATACCCAGGAATTATCATCCAGCGAGCTCTTTCCGTAAGAATGGTGTTCCTGAAACGTTTTGCCATCAGCTGGAATGGGTCTCTCATCTGTCCATGCTTGTAGAGTCACCCTCTCCGGTGGGATTTTTACTTCTCTGGGCAGAGGGGGAGACACAGCATTGCAGAGTAATTCATCATTTTGGGAGAGTTTTTTATAGACTACCCCAGGCGTCAAGTTCAGCTTTGAAATGTTCAAGTCAACACATTGTACTGGTGCAGTAGAGGCAGCTGAGAAAAGAAGATAAAAAAGATTTGTAAGTGCATTTTTCATTTACTCCAAATGTACGACATGTACAGTACAGCAGGGACGTTAGACCCAGTGTTTGCAACACTACAAATTCTCAAGTCGTATTTTACTTCAGGAACTACTTAAAAGTTCCCAGCTGAGCGTACTGACCTCCTCAGTCTGATTTTGCAAGATGAACCAGGGATCCTGGAATTGGAATGTCTAAAATACACCCAACCCCATGGAAACCTCCCAGCTCCCACTTGAACACACAGAAACCAATGAATCTTTTTGACAAGATGGAAAGGAACGGTGAAAGGAGGAGGATTTTCGGGCACTTGGAGAAATGGACCCGAGCACAAACACTGCTCACGCTCAGCAGGCTTCTTCCTACTCTGCTGAGTCTCACGCTGCCGAGAATCTGAGTTCTCACTGTCCAAGGAGCAGGAAGAGGGAAAGGCAAGGTGTTCACAGGTTCTCTGGGCTCCACCATTATCTGACTTCTGAAAGCAAAGCGACAAGACTGCAGCGTTCAGCCATCTGAAATTCCAGGCGAGTTTTAAACCATGCCAGAAAGGGGAGGATTTTGAAACAGAACGGCATCTGAAGGTGCACCTTCATTGCAGAGCTGAACAGCTGCCCGCAGACCACCAGGTCATATTTTTGTAGCGATAATTTACATAACATGTAATGGGAGTAGATGAATGATTCCTGCAGTTGAAGACATTCACATCTTACTAGTTGCTTTCTAGACGAGCTGTGAATCTTGAGTATAAACTGTGATTTGTAACTTTAGTTCTTAAGTTACAGAAAGAGGAGCCAGTATCTTGGTCAAAGACTACAACTTCTGTTTGCTGCTGTAAATTGAAAGGTGGTACCCAATTCCCAAATGTCAGCCAAAGGCACTTTCCAGTAGCACAGGCATCAAAATTACTGAAAAAAGGCTACAGAGCAAAAGGCAAAAATCCACTGTTTTCCAGTCAATCACTAATGCCTTTTGTGGCTGTGGATGCACGACTGCATTAGCATCTGCAGAAAATCAGACTGTTCACCGAGTAGAAAAGAGAAATCAGTACTTGTGTAGTGGCAAGACAGGTAACTCCAAATTAAAAATAAGGACAGGAAGACACTACATGATTACATCAAACCTTGACAGATATCAGGATCAAAAACTCCATTCAGTTCCCAGTTTCTCTGCTGAAGTTGTTTGATAAATGTGTCTCAGAACTGTAGGGACAGGGAATCACCTGGCAACAGTATGAACAAGTCTACAAAACGTGTTGATAGTTTATCAGCCAAGGACCAGAGAGTGATCATTAATCACTGCTGGCCACAGACAAAGGCACTGATTGACCTGGAGGTGAATCCTGTCATTACCTCACTGAGCCAATCAAAGCAGCTTAGAAACAAAATGTCTTGATCTTGCAATGGACAGGGACATCAGAGACTGCCACCAGTGTATTGTAACCAAGCTCACCAGCATCTCCTGTATTCTGAACACAGTACATACCACAACTGACGTGAGCAGAAAGCGAAGGAAATGAACACGGCGCTGAAGAGTCAGACATAGTCTGGCCCCACCAGCATAAGAACGCTCTCTCATAAAGCATTTGGCTTGAGAGAAACATAATTATGAAATGGAAGCACCACCTGATGAACTGCTCACAGAAATTATACATACTTTATATGGAAATTATTCTCCCCTTTAATTATTTGCAATGTAGCAGCAGAAATAAGGCAGTTTTGCAGCCTCAGTATTCTGACATTCAGAAAATGTCATCTCACGTAGCATTTTGCTAGAAAAGAGAACTTTTCCAAATGCCAACATAAAGAAATATGCAACTATATAGAAATTTCAGTCTATTAAAGTCTGATTTTAACATGTTGCCAAATTAAAGCTTTATATATTCTATACTGGGAAAATAAGACTGCGTTTGCAAAAAAGATTTTTTCCCTCCTAATATGAAGTAGTTGTGGTAAAAGGTCAAATACGAGTAAACTTAACACCTCAGCCTTGTGCACATAAGCAACACTTGACTGAGAAAAAAGCCACAAGGGGAACAGAATACAGTACTGAAGAAAAAACACATCAGCAACACCTTTATGTGTGAAGTTGACCAGTATGAGACAGAAGCAAAAGCAGAAAATGGGTAGGCTGGAACCATAATATAGTCCAGCTTATCAACTTCAATTGATGAGATTCTGATAAGATATGATAGCTACTTTCTTTATAAAATGGTAGAGCTTGAATCAATGGCTTGCGTTTGTAAGGGCTGTTACAGCAAACACCGACTTGCCTTTCTTGGTCGCTGTTGGGTTTGTTTTCAGTTTTCGTAGAAGCTCAGCTTGCATGTCAGTCACCAGGCACAAATTAGACATTTCTCTCTTCAGTTCCCAATATGCTTGATGCACGCTTTCAAAACAAAAATTTTTTAAGAGTTAAATAATTGCCACCTCTAAAGCACCCTCATGCCTATTAACATGCTTGTCAAGCGTTAACTGTTAATAAATCATTTCTGGCTGACATACACTGCCAATTTTACTAGAGTACCATAATTCAAAATTAATTGGGCAGTACTGATAATTATCTTAAACTGATGGACCTTTGTATATTTTATTTGCCTCCTGCATATTACAATATATAATGTGTTATATATTAACATACTAGATGATACAAATAAATTCAAGTTCCCCAAACAGAAAGAAGTATGGAGCATGTTCTCCAGATTCATTATTTGAAACTAACCATCTTACCATAAAAATTAGTCATGTCCTAGGAATACTTTAAAAAAATAAATTAAATGGGCACTAGATTGTAAACAAGTAGAGTATTAACTTTGAATGCTTCTGATAAATGACCACACACACCATTGCATGTTATGATCCTAGTTTTAAATATTCAAACAAAATCAGTGTTTGGGTCTTTACACCATCCACTTTGCTACAGTGAATTCAGACCAGATACCTGGGATCCAAACTGAGCACCCACCCACACACCAAACCGAAGTGTAAAACACACTGTTTCATATTCAAGTCATCTAATTTATGTTAAAATACACTGCCTTATCAGACAGTGTAAAAAATAGCAACCCAATTCATTCTCTGATAAGACAGTATAATATGAGGAACATTTTTAGCACCAGCAGCGCTGTTCCAAGATTGAGATTTCAGGTTAATAAAATGAGTTAGGAAAATCCAGAACAAAAAAAATCAGAAAAGTCAGCATCACCATGCTTCTTGGTAAAATTTTGAGCAAAGGCTCACTGAACACCACATTTATGGTGACTAATAATTAACTCAGTGTTCAAAGACGCAAGGATGCAACTACTTCGACTGAAACGTGAAACCAATGATTGAATGCTTTTTTTATGCTTAACATTCTACGAAAACACATTTGTTGAGGACAAGTATAATGGATGAGAGTTTTCAAAGTATTTCTTTATTCTTCACTATATTCACTTAAAAGACATTTATATGAAACAGTTGAATACATCTAACTATTGTTGAAAGGACTAAGAACTGTTAAATTATATAACAACTGTATTTTCAAACATGCGTATATACAGATTGCTGTCCCTCTAAAATAGCAATTAAAGATCACCTCTGCATAAAATTTATCGGACATGAATGTGTTCAAAAGCACTGTGAGGAACAGCTATTATTCTGCTCTAAAAGAGTTCCTTTAAAACAAAGGAATTAAACTTTCTTGTACGCACAGAGAGATTTCCCCAGAACACAAATTCAGATTCAAAAACTCTGTTGAAGACCAGAGAAAGCTGATAGTTTCATAGGTACCTTGTTACGTACCAGCAATCCTGACAGACAGAAAGTTAAAATTTTCAAAACTACTATTTCAAGGAGCTAAAACTGTGGCCTTGTTACTGCAGATCCCATTTGGCTCTTTGAACTTTTAAAAGATGACAATTTTAAAACTAAGTTTATGTGGCAACCACATTTCATTCGTTCATGTGTTCCGGTCTCAAAAATAAGATCACACAAACTTTAGTTATATCAAACCAGAACCATCCAGTATTTTATACAGAATTGGTAAATAGAAGAACAGCTCAGTGTCTCCCACCAACCAGCGGGAAAGTGCTTAGATAAAATTTATAACATCATTTAGCACTTTTAAAAGCATCTTGCTAAGTGATGCAGATACCAGAATTCCACTTACATCACACATAATGTATTTTAATTGTTTTTGTGAATACTGACCTAGAATCCCATCGCAAAGCCTAATTTTCAAGGAATTTGCAATTGTAAAGCAAGGATTCCTGATGCTCGGAAGTTTATCTGATGCTGCCTTCTAACATTAGCCTTGAACATGGTATAGCCTGTCTAAATCTACAGGAAAGCACATTTGCAAACCACGAATTTAAAGTCAGATTTGCAGGCTGCTGACAAATATGAAATAATTACTTTCCAAAAAGTTAACTGACTGCAAATGCCTTCGTCTCCCCCAAACAGCAGGATTGCTTCCTACAGCAAATGTTTCATATCAGAGAGTTTTTCAAGTATCTTTCCACAGATTTTTGGATAAGCTTACATATTCAGTACACATTACACATTCATTATTTATATCATATTACAATAAACACTACAATGTATACACGCTAATTCAGACAGTTGCCACCTGAACGTCAATTTGTGGAATAAATCTGCTCTGGAAGATCAAAGAGATAACTACTTCACCTTGAAGTAACACCTTTTTTCAGGCGTGTAAGACTGACTATGAAGCACCAGCAGAAACCACAAGTACAAAGTGTTGGGCAGCCAGCTATCCACTCACGGGGAAAGTGTAATTTATGTATAGTCTGTATAATATTATCATCCTTACACCAGAGAACATATGAATAGGAGTATCTGTGCTGTTCTCTTTCAGTGACTGATTTCCTTCCCCAGCCAAGCGAGCAACCAGGTATCACACAGAACAGTCTGTCCTTAAGAAGGACCACTCTTCCCTCTTGTGGAAAATCGTGTAAGTACACAAACAGGCATAACAGGGTGTAAGAGATGCAGTTACTATTTCATTTCTCCAAGACAGAACATTTGGGAACTTTCATGCATTCATTGACTTTTCCTTTGCATATAGAATCAAAGGATAGATATACTTTCTAACGCAGCACATACTCAAGACAAGATACTAGAGGAGTTTATATCATAAGCACAATTATTATTTGAATAGCTGCAAAATGAGATCAAATGCTTTCTGATATGTTAACTTTCTTCTGGGAAATAGCTGTTTCTTTTTCGATAGGTCACACAAAAGCTCCTCAATATTAAAAAAAACAATAATCTTTTAAAATGTCTCCTAGTAGAAATGTTATTGCACTGCCCGAAGTAAGAATGCAACACTAAGCAAGAGATTTGAAGCCACCACCTGTGCAAACACAGAAACCTTCCCATACGCAAAATGAAGAGATTCTATAGCTGGGAAGAAACTTGGAAATTTATCTACCATCTCCTCAAGTCAACTAATTATTAAAAAGCTGATTTTTAAATCCAAGAGAATTTAGCTTTCATTTTCTGTACAAAAATTTGAAGATGTAAATGTTATATCATCATCATCATCCTGGACTACCACTGTAACACAGAAAAAAAAAGTGATCTTGCTAAATCAATATACCGAGACCTGAAATTAGATTGTGTAATTTGAAGTAACAGATTTCAGCAAGCTGCAAGAGTATTTCCTTGTTCAAGGAACTGTCCCTCAGTAAACGATAAATAAAACATGAAAGCCACTTGATTTTCATACCTCTGAATGTCTTGCCTTTGAAGGTGGTCTCCATTTGATGGATTTTCGTCCTGAGCCTGGTCCTGCACAACAGAGTGAGAGGAGACAGAGAAGGACTGAACTTGTGATTTCAGATCTTCTAGCTGAAAACTGCAGTGAAACTACAAGTTTGCTAATCTTAAAATTCAGAAGTAAAGTGGTCTTTATTTGTATTGGCTGCAGTGGTTTTCACAATGGACATAAAGACTCCTTTCTAAGAATTTTCCCATAAAAAAGCTTGAATTCCCTACTTACACGAAACCATTGCTCAGCCACCACTTTACTACTTTTCTTTTTTAAAAAAAAAAGCAAACAGCTGAGAATTTGTGATTCTTTGAAAAGCAAAAATTGAGAAAAGATTTTTACTTCTTTTAAAAAAAAGTAATGTCTTCTCTTATTCTTTCTTTGCCCAAGTATATAAAGACCTTTAATTTAAACTATTTTAGTATAGTTTTACTTCCACAAATTATGTTTATGATAGAACATAATTTGTCCCTTGAGTCTGCAAGACTGCGCTAAGTTGTGCATATATGCAGCCTCACTGTAGCTAACAGGACTGCTTAAACCAGAAGCTATTTAAACTGTTTTAAACCAGAAAAAAATAGAAAGTGTATTTGCCTAAGGTAGAAAACATCTGAAAATGCTAATTAAAAATAGTAATAGCAAAAAACCAGTATTTCAGCTGACAATGTTTCCTTCTGCTGAAGACTTCCACCAGAGCCCAACTGTGATTCAATTTCATAGTTAAAAAAGAAACAACAAACATTTGCACTGTATTACCCCACATTTGAAAGGTTGTACCTTTTTATTTCCCGTATAAAACAGTTGCCAGGATCAAGCAGAAATTATATTTAAAAAAAAAGAAAGAAAAGAGCTGTTCCTTATATTCTTTTTTTTTTTGCAGTAAGAGCTGCTAACCTAAGTACTATTTAAACTGTCATGTCTAGTATTCCTTACAACTGCTATTTTAGTTTGTTCTTTCTAGCAACATTCATTCTCACAATACAATCTGCAAGCTTCAGTTATTTATGTAGCTGTTACTCTGTTCTACAGAGGTACCTGAAGACACCAGAATTATACACAAGTTACGATACGCCTTCAGAATTTACAAGTTATTGAACATACCTAAAAGAATTCCAGATACAAGTGAAAACAACAACCACCAGTAACGGAACTTAACCAAACACCTCACACGCCTTCCAGGTAAAGTGCTTTATCCCCATCTAGTGGAAAAAACACAGACTAAACCTGAAACAAGACAATGCAGGTAAACCCATCCCTGTGAGCTGGGAGTGCCTCTGGAGAGACAGATCCCTGCTGAGAACCCAACACCCCAGCTGTGCATGCTTTGAGGGCAGCAGGGGAGAAGGACTTCAGGCTAGCTCTAGTCTGGCCCCTGAATGCCCGGGAGAAGCTGGGGTGCAGCTTCTTAGTTTCATCCCAAAGAAATCCAGTTCCCATACTCCTGACTGCTCCACAACGCCAGGGACAGTAGGCAGGGGTGGTTAGGAGATTTGCTTCAAAAACACATTTCTGTAGTAATGTAAAGGTGCACATAAGAAAAGAAGAGCCAAGGAAACATTTCTAAATTGAACCAAATCCTATTTGAAGGCAGGATGATAGCCATGCAAGGATTTACCTGTGAGTTATATCCTGAATATTGGCTCACTCAAATATTATGTGACTCAAGATTACATAATCATGATTATTAATGACTATAAGAAACATATAATAATCTGCCTCTTCAATAATTTTACAAGATTTAAGTGTGATTGTTTGTATAACTTCAATGTGACTGCAGACTCCTAAAGACTGCCACTGCACCTTTTATCATGTAAAGCAGTAAGGATGACTTATTTTTTTTTAAACTTAATGCTTTTTATTACTGTTAAGCTACTTTAATTTCCTTTTTGAGATCATAACCACATCTATATTACAGAATGAGACCCTCACAACAGACCCTTGCCCCAGACTAAAGGAGGTATAGCAACAGTCTGGAAACCTTTTTCAAAAAATCCACTTACCTGACAGGCTGCATGGAACTACCCTAAAAAAAGTGCTAGACCTCTTTAAACAAAGTTTGTGATATCTTTTAACACAAGCATTCTGATGTTTTAAAAGGAAAAAAACCAAACACACACCAAAACCCAAACAAACCAACATGAACAAAACCAAAACAAACCCAGGTTTTCCCAAACTTTCTAACAAGTCCAGCCCAAGACCAATACCAGCACAGGATACTTCAATTTGATTTGCTACTTATAAGAAATTGTAAAGCTTTCCTTTGTGTTATATGGGCAACACCTAAGTGAGCCTACTATTTCCAAGAAACAAGCCAGTCTACAGGAATATTTAAGGATAATTTTACTGGGATGTTAATCTTTCACTCAATTGTATACTCCATATCTCTTAGTTTATGCTTTATTTTGCTTGAACAAGGGATTTAAAATAATGCTATAACACAGTCAAATCTATTAATACAAAAATTTCTTTACAATAAAGTTACCTTCTGCTTGGATTTTTGCAACTCCTTTTTGAGACTGTTGCACTCTTGCTTGAGCTTTTCTAGATCCTGTTCCAGACTATGCACTTTCAGGTCACTACTCAGTTTCTCAATTTCCCAGCTGGATTGAGTACAATTCAGATTTTTCATCACTGTAAAAAAAACAAGCAAGACACTCAGATTTCATTCTCAGTTCAAGAAATGTAACTCAATATGTAAGGTTTCACCTCAATCAGCCCATACCCTAAAAAAAAAAGTTACCACGTACATTCTGAAGAAACTGCAGGCTATGACAGCACAGAAATAGTAACACTGGTGAAGCTGCTGGCAGAGAAGCAGTCTATTTTCTGAGTTTAAAGTACGGAGCCCTACTTTCTAAGAAAGCACTGGAGATTTTACATAAAGAGAAAGCAACAGCATAAAAATGCACTGGAAATACAAAAATCTGTTAATGGTAAACACACATGATATACACACCAACTTGCATCCTTCTTACATGCTGCAAAAAGATGAGCCTTTTCCGCCTCGGATTTGTACCATTACATAATCTACCCCAAGTTTTTCCCAAGTTTAATATTAAAAACATTCAAAACAGAACTGCAAACAATACAATCAAAATAAAAGGGTAAAGACTAGAAGTTACATAAGTCTTCTTATTAGACAGGAAAAATTCACATGGTCACTAGTAAGAAGCAACCTAAGACGATCCTAGCATCAAATCAGTAGTAGGATGCTAGTTAGAAAGCAAGAAAAGAAAGAACATGACGGGAAGAAAAACCCCAAGTCTTCAACTGCATGGTACGCTCACTCCCATACATAACAATTTAAACAAGCTTAAGCTACACTGATTTTTTCTAAACAAGGTACTCAGAGCCCACTCAGAGCCCAGAGTAAAACTGATTACTAAATAAGGCTTGGAATCACCACATTTTCAGAGCTCTCTTCATAAACTCTGCACTTCTTACCTCCTTAAATTATGATGTCCTCAACAATGATGCTACTGCTACATGTGGTTTGTTCTTCTAGGTTTAAGAACTTGTGCAATTGAAGTAGTTCATTACATGCTTGATGTCCTCTTGGAAAGTAATCCAATTCAAGCACAGCAGTACTTACAAACACCCTTCAAATGACTGCATTTGTACAGTCCATGACTCTAGCTTTACATTTCCCTGTTCTCTTTTCTTGTAACAGTACATTAATAAAGATTATTTTTTTTTTCTTCCAGAGCATTTTATTTTACATCCCTATCATCTACACAGCACTCTTCACACCGGCAGCAACAGAAGCTGATTTGAGCTTCTGGAATTACCAGGGTACACTGTTTGTCTCTCCTTCCTCTTTCCACCAGGCTCTCTACAACCGACATCTTTCTACCCTGCCTCATCTGCAGCGCTTTAAGTAAGTGTTGTCAACTGCAGCTATTGCTACACAACATGCTCTTGTACCTGTCACATCCCACCAGTGAGACAAAGCAGTATACTGGATCATCTGCAGGCACCAGAGAAGTGGTATCAACTGGATAGTGTTTGATACTTGAACAACTATGCTCCCACCCCACTCTGAGGAAGAGGTGGTGAAGTCCAGAGATGTGCACGACCAGCCTATTACATTGCAGGTTGTGCACATTTTTCAAATTATTAAATAATTTACAGTGGAAGAACACAACAGCCTCAGATCTTTACCATGGAGCTCCTCGCCTGGGATAATCTAACACATGTGTCACCATTTACAAGAACAAACACAGACAGGAGCTCGAAGTCCCTCAGTGCAGTGTACTCCTCTCTCACTTACTATGCACAATTAAGCCTCTTCATGACATGAGATCATAATATAACCACTAAGACTAGTCAACACACATTAAGATGAGGTAACCAAATGCATACCTTGTTGAGTTTCCACTTCAGTTCTTAGTTGTAACAGCTCTACTTCTTTAGACTGCAACTGTTCGTTCAAGTTTTTCAGTGATTCTGCATTTTCTTTTATCTATTTTCAGGGGGAAGAAAAACCCAAAACCATCTGTGATGCTTTTTTTTAATCATGTCTGACAGTTCAACAAAACAAGAAAAGTATTGCTTTGGGTACTTTTTAGCATTAGCCTAGTCCAGAAATAAAACTGAGGTACTTAAAATTGTTATTCCTATATAAAGTATCGTCATGTCCTTTAGAAACCTAAGGGAGTGATAAAACAAACACCCCAGATCTTCAGCAAATAAAATTAATTCTACAGTAAACATTTACTAACTATGCAGTACGTACATAGCATGCATTTAAGTCATTACTTAAAAAGGCATACCATTTTATCCAGTTTGCTTTTCAGATTATCTCGGTCAATGCAGGCCTCTCGATAGGCTTGGTATGCCTTATTTACTTGTTCACGGCCAACGGAGCTGCATTCTTCTTCCAGCCGGGAGCCGAGCAGCTGGAAGTTTAACAGACATGAGAAATCACAAGTTTCCTATGTTATATCGAGAACTGCAAGTGCAGTGGCAGAGTCTGCAACATTAAACTAACAGCATTTTTGTTAGTTTAGAAAATAAATGAACCAAATACATTGATACAGACAAAAATCTCTTAAAGAAGTACAACAAAGGCCCGTAACAAATTCTTCAGTCTCTCCCCATACTTAGTGCTTGCTAGTTTACTGCTATGAGTATTTAAAAACCATCCACAAGTCATGATTATTCACACCAAGAATCCCTTAATCATATTTCTTCCAGGCTCTGAAGGTGTATAAACTGCTTTTTGTAAAAAGAGTTTTAAGCATATAAAGACACAACATATAGAAAATTCAAAGGACACTAAACACAATTTTTTTTAATTACTCATAATTTAAATGAAGAATTTTTTTTCAGTATATTTATGTGAGAAAAGCCAAAGCAGAGTTATTTCACAAGTAACTATTAACTTCCAGGTCACCACTACCTCACTGCCTGCTAAGGCAAGAGGCAAGCAAAGGGCAATAAGCACTACCAACTAGATTGTCAGAAAGAGGGGAGCAGAGCTAAAATATATTCAGTATTTTTAGTAAGACAGCAAGAAAAGTCTTACACAGATCACACCTGTCTATACAGAAAGTTCTTGTTTTGACTAAATGTTGCATTATCCTTTTCATCCTGTTTATCCTGCACTCTTGCTTTAAATTGACGCATTTAAACACATTCAAGGTACCTGATGTAGATATTTGCAACAGATTTACACACATATATATTCTTAAAAGTTAGGTCACACACAAAAAATTTACAAAAAAATCAACGAGGCGACAGTTATGCATCTGCCTTAAATATCTCCTCTTTTAGGCATTTGCTCAAAAGAAAGTATGGAAAAGCAAGCCATAAAGATCGTAAGTGTTGTCCTTCATATTTTCCTCCCTGAAATAAAGCCATTCAGATAGAATCTAAGCCTTCCCAAACTTTCCTGAAGTTTCCATACACTTTTAAATATAAGACTTAAAAGGGATAACTTCCCACAGATATTTTTATCATACAGGTGTATTAGCCATTAAAAAAGACTCAAAGTTAGTTCTGCTACTTAACAGTCTAGGCCTTCTCAATACCCCTCTCACGGAAATAGTTTTACGGTATTCACATACTAAAAGTTTTGTCTATGGAAAATGAAGTATCATGTTCAAAACAATTAAGATGAACTAGGCCAACCCAAACAGCAGATGACTAGAAGGAATTGCAAGGTCATCAAGACATGTTTATTGTGATTTTGAGTAACGATGTAAAAGATGTTACAGTCAGTATGGTTCAGAGAATATTCAGGCTGGAGCTCTATTCTTATCTCCATCACTCCCACAGGACCTTATATAAAGGAAGTGCCAAGAAAGTTTGGCCTTTTGACAGAAAGTCAATCCTGTCAAACTAGTCACCAAGGATTCCTCAATAAGTGTTTCAAAACGGTACCGAGTGTGACTCAAACTCTTCATTCCAACGTCACAAAATAATACATAGATAGTATTATTTGAAGAGTCAGTACCACATACTTAGTACTAGATCCTAATAAATGCCTCAGCTCTAACTCTAGGATCTCTCTTTCCATCTTATATTAATAAGAAAGCAATCCATCACAGTCGAGACCGTCTGCGGTACAAAGACACGTGCTACTGAATGATGGATATACATCTAACCATAGCATTCTTTACTTGGGGAGAAAAGCTGGTGCCATGGTCAATTTTAAGCTTTAATAAACCTCACCAGACTAAAGCCATAAGAAACCGCATATAAAGCAAATTCCTAGATTCCTTTACATTTTAGAATCACTGTATCAATAAATAGCCAGCTGACACCTCTGTGTTAAGTACTGCAACTTTGTATTTCATGATGGAGACTGCTATTAGCTAGACCTACCCACATACTCCTAAACCACCTATTTTTTCTTACCATTTCAGAATGCTGAGCCCAAGAGGTTCTTTTGACAGACAATCCCTGGATTCTGACAATTTATAGACTTGGCACCCCAATATTTAATAATACTAAGTGACGTGCCCAAGTTAATAAATACTATAAAGAGGCAGATGAAATACAGTAACAATCCAATGCAATTATACATCTTTCTGAATCAAATCTTTGTCTTTGCAGGGCACTACACTGCATCATATACATGCTCAGTAGGAATCAAAAATCCCAGCATGGCGTAACTAGACTACCAGAGGAACAAACTGTGTTTCACTTAAACAAATAAAACAATTTACCAAAAATTTTTAACTTGGGAATTATGTTAAGTACAAATTTTAAATACTTAACCATCTGCTCCACCATCCAGACAGGAGCAAAAACGTAGCTGCTACTGTAGGCTGGTCAACTGCATTTTTTTCTTACCTTCTCTTCTAGAATTCTCACTCTTTTTTTTAAGAGGGAGTTCTCCTTCTCTGTCTCCTTTAGCCGTTTCTTGATATCTTCATATGCAGTGACAAGTGCGAAGTGTGAGGCAACAGACTCATCTCCACTGTAAGATGAAACAGGAATCTCCCCATCTCTCTTATGGCCGTTTTCTGCTTTTTCGTGGTTCAAAATACAGATGTCATCCTCTACCAGCTCCTCCATGACAGCTGTTAAAAAGACAGATATGAGTGCAAAATTTTCACAAAGACAAATTCATCAAGAATCTCAAGTCTGAAAACCTTCCAAAATAATACTGCAGGGTACTTCTGTCAAAGTATGACAAGACCGAGTAATTAGGAAATATCTCAATCTTGCAGAAAAATCTTGAAACCCATTATACATTGAAAATACACTGCTTAGAAAAGAAGCATCTTTCACTATTGATAAAAATATTTTGAGTATGCATCAAATTTAGAAAACCCCAAATACATTTTTATTAAGGCTTAACACCATCCTAGAATTTGGCTGGTACCAAATACTTGAACTCCAAAGGAATATCGTATTAGAGTTTTTGCAAGTCAGCACTGAGCAGTAAAAGAGATTATAGTTGCAAGAAATCAACTAACTACTATGGTTACAGAGCACAAGTGCCAGATTTTCTTCATTCTTGAGTGCAAATATTTATACTTTGTCCAAACTTTAAAATGGAATCTTAAGGTACACTTGCATTAGTCTATGAAGAGGCTGCATTAATAGCTATTCTTTACTTAGGTACCGTAGAAAACATCCTGCTGACCAACAATTACAGTAATTCTTGACTGCAAGTATAGTGAGAATGAAAACATATTCAATAACATGATCTGCCTCAACATGTACGGCGAAAACTGACAGGAAACTGGCTATAAGAGAAGTATCACTCTAAAATACGAGACAAATCCACCTGAATGACAAATTCAAAGTAAGATTAAGTTTTTCTTACAACACATAACATTTAGGCACAGCAAAACATTCAATAAGAAAAGAGCACTTTTAAAAAACTCCATATACTTTCTTAAACTCCAGACCTTAAGGGAAAAGCCCCAGCAGCCTTTTCCTTAATGTTACTAGTTATCTGGAACAAATTCAGGGGCTTGATTTAAGAACAACCAACGAACCTCCATCCTCCCCCCAAAAGCCAAACCCAACCAATCAAAAAAAGACACAGCTCATTCTTATTTAGTTATGAAGATCAAGATTCCTTGCATATATATGCAATACTAAAAAGTGCTATATAGTCTCTGATAACACTTCTCTCCCTCCCCCTTAAAAAAACACTACTGATACTACTTTGACCAAAAGTAGATTTTTATTTTTTCCCATTAAACAAATCCTTGGGTTCCTAATGATTAGCTAATGAACCAAGAGAAGTGCTGGAATGAAAGAAATTAGTATAACGAAGACAGTTTGTATTGTAGCAAAAAGCTATTTCAACAGAAAACTGATCTGATCAGCAGAACAAGGCAGGAAAGAGAGGAATCAGTTGGGGAAAAACCCACAGCCACAACTGCTGCTTCTACTGTGTACTTGCTATTTAAATCCAAATTAGACTTCCATTTTTTAACCATACTAAGAGGGAAAGGGATCTGGAACTTCTCTATGAGGTCAAGTTTCTCTTGCCAGGTTCGCAAAGGCAAAACTGCCAGGAGTGCAGTGTTCAGAGGGCTGTAGTACAGCTACAGCTCAACAGTGGTGCCGGTACCACATTTGTCTCAATTTGCTCAAAGCCCCTTGGACAACATGATAAAAACCTGTGACAGTTCATTCATACTAAATAGACAGCAATGGAGTTGCAACAGTGAAGTGTGAGTGTGGAGTGAAAAAAAAAAGACAAGAAAACTACAAACCAAACCAGAAGCCCTGTTAATGGTTATCTTCAGGAGGCGAACAGATGCCTTATATACTATTTGATATATTCTAATAAAACAGGCAGCCAAAGCTTCCCTTGCCTGTTGCTCTGCGTCACACTTAAGTAGAGAGTGACTTGCAAAAAAGGTTTGCTTCCTCTTCATTGTAAGAATAGTATCACTCCACGCACAAGGTGACCTTGACCAAAAGCACTGCATCATTCAAACGGCATTAACTGACTGATGGAATTGCTCATTTTGCCTTCTAAGCTGAGCATAACATACTACCTTTTCCTCCCCCATTTTACCAAGGGCCCTGTGACTCTTCTCACCCATCTCATCAAATTCCAAGAGCTTGCCTTCTCAAGGCAACATCTCCTTTCCTCTGAACACTAGAATCAAATGGCATGAAAGCGTCACAGCTTATCATTATCTCTTGAAGAAAGCAGCAGATTGTGTGACCTTACACGTAAAAATACATCTTTATCCCCGTACTTTACTGTAACTCCTACACGTCGGCATCATACACTCCCCATTTCTTGCACACATCAGTTCCACCAGGAGATGGCAATAAGGGAAAACAGGAGACAACAGCAGAAGACCAGACCATATTTATTCTGTTTCTATTTATTTGCTAACTAAAATTTACTGCCTTTATGAGCTTCCAAAAGAGCAAGACCTTCCAAATAAGACCCTAGCATACACAACTACTAGTTTATAAATTCAGGTACACACTTAAACCACACCTACTAAGAGGACTAGTTACACAAACACTTTTTTACGTGAAAGATCTCATTTAGTTTACAGGGTTATTCAACTCTGATTTTCTGATGCTGCCCTCTAAGCCAGCGCTGGATGCTATTTAGAAGAGAAGGGTTTAATTCCACATAATTCAAAGGAGCTTGCAATACACGTTACTCTAAATTTCAAGATAATTGTTTCAGAAAGATGTGATACATTTTATGACTAATCTTAGTGCAACTAAGTGGCGACAGGCTGCCTTCAACACAGAAGTCTACGTCTCCTGAGAAATGGGTGCCCAAATAGGACACCTTCCTCTCAGCTCATCCCTTTAACGAACAGATCTGATGCTGTAACACTTTGGAGGGGAAGGTGGCAACAGACCTTACACAGGCTTAAGTGAAGTGGGATATTCTGAAGGAATTCTGTGATTTTTAAACTTTATGCTTCAATTATTAAAAATAAAAAAAAAATTATCATGAACGAGGCTTCTCTGTACTGGAAGCTCATCAGCATGTCAAGAAGGGAAAATCACCACAATATTCACATTGTATACACTTTATGTTAATAGAGATAATGAAAGATAAAAATAAAGTATTAATAATAGTCACACAGTGTATTACACTGCAACCACCATAAAAAAGTGCAACTGTTTCAGCTTTACAAGAAACCTGATTCAAATTACTATTGTCATAATGCTCCACAACATGGAAATGAAACTGAGACTTCAGACAGACTTCCCTTTCAAATAAATGGACAGATATACATAAACTGAAATTTAAATGCACTGAACACCAATTTACCCAGAATTTTAGAGCATCACATGAAGAAAATATAATAAAATATTTACATTACTCTATGTTTAGCATAAGATTACTTCAAAAAGCCATAGCATACATACTCAAAACTGAAAAAGTTGTTGGTATTTTGAGATTTCCCCCTACCTCTTAAAGAACTTTGCTGCTTTTGGAAAAAAGCACTGCTCTTGAAACTGAAAGCACCTTTTCTTCACAGAATAAAAAGCCGCTATGATTTCTAAGAGATTTCATGATGCTATTGTCAGTCAATCTGAAACGAAAACTCTTTGCCTAGCCTATTTTATTCTACATAGCTTTCCATTTTCTCCCACAACAGTTATTCTACAAAGCCACACAGTTATATTTTTAACAAACTGCAAAAACTGTAAAAATTTATTGAAGAGGGAAAAAAAAGAAGAAAAAATGCAATTACCAAATCTCAGGTATGAGTTGATACAAAATAATTTTAACAGTTAGCTCTATTCGTAAACATCAGTCTGTTGCATGTGCTTACTGAATATTCCTTTTATTGCGTATTTCAAAAAGGTTTCAAATCTCACAGTCTACAGAACTATATGAGAGACATTTCCTGAGGAAGAAAAAAATAATAGTGCTATGACTTCTGTATTGGCTAGAATTATAGAATAGTTAGAGTTGGATGGGACCTTAAAGATCATCTAGTTCCAACCCCACTGCCATGGGCAGGGACACCTCCCACCAGACCAGGTTGCTCAAAGCCCCATCCAGCCTGGCCTTGAACACCTCCAGGGATGGGGCATCCACAGCTTCTCTGGACAACCTGGGCCAGTTTCTCACTACTCTCACAGTAAAGAATTTCTTCCTAATATCTAATTCTCCCCTCTTTCAGTTTAGAGGGATAATGACTCAAAAGTAAGTTATAACATAGGTACCACTAACTGCAGTACACATTAGATGAACATGAGAAAAAAGTGACATTAGAAAAATCAAAGCTACATTGCTAAATATATCTAAATAAATCAACACTATCTAAAAAAGAAAAAAAAAAAAACAACCACACAATGCCCCACCCAAACAGTTTATCTCTACACTGCAAAAAACTGTCTGAAGTGTTTCCAATGCAAAAAAAACCAGTAGTTGCTTCTCCAGCACCTGGTAAGCCTGTATTAAAAGGCCAGTAACAGATTTAAGCTCATACAAGAATAAAACCTGGCCGTTAAACAGTGTAAGATTAGCAGTTCTATAAATGTCAGTTCACCCAGGTCTTTGTTGTACTATCAGAAAAAAGAAAAAAAAGTAAGATAAAGCATGCTCACAAATACTACTTTCTCTATAAGAAGCTCTCTTATGATACTAAAACAACAGACAGAAAGCCTTAGAAGACAAAAACCTTAAAAAATGGGGCTATATCTGTAAGAAAACCTCGACTCCGTCTGTAGCCTTTAATTTTACTTTTTAAGGACAGGAATCAAAATTTAGTTTCTCCAGTATTATATTACATCATTTAAAAAATATGAACTGTAAGTAACAATCAAAGAAGTGCTTTCTGACACAATACATGCTTTCTGACAAAATACATGCATTAGTTTGTTCCACAAGTGATGACTCCTCAATCTGGCAGTCCCAGAAGGGCTTGCAGGATGGCAGTAACTCCCGAGTCCAACCACAGATCTCTGCCTGCATTTTATTCTGTTTGGCTTCTCCAGTTCAAAGCCAGGCTTGTAAGCACTGCTGCCAGTGTCCCAGAGCTGTCACTCTGAAGTACCTGAGTGAATTCTGACCTCTCTGGAGTTGCAATTCCTGAGATAATCTGTACTAGAGTAACCAGTTAAAGCGAAAGAGTTCCCACTAAAATATTTAAAGTAATATACAGACAAGTTAATGTCTATGAATACAACTGACGTCCATCTTAGCCTACTTAAAGCAAACTTTACAATCCCACTTCATCACACATCCCATCCCAAGAAAGGTCTTCCTAATACTTTCACCATGTTTCTTTCAACATGTTAGATTTATATATTTTTAGAATGATTTGCACACAAAACAGCCTATATAAAAGGACTTGAATCTTTACTTCAAAAAAGAAATACATTAAATGAATAGTATTAGTGTTTGTAGTAAATAATTACTGTTTTAGAAAAACCCCACCAACATGAATACACCGTTGACAGGACGTAATATAAAGATCTAGCAGGAGTAATTGTGTTTATAAGCAGATGAGTTTGAAGAGATGATATCACTTAAGTTGTCTTTTACATACTGTAGAAAATAATGGTTTCCAGAAACTTCTGTTGTTCATTGATACTTAATGTAGGTTATAGAAAAGCTTTAATTTAATATATTAACTATATTGAGAATAAGAAAGTTTTCCCATTTCTTACTAATGCTTGGCAGAAATACAGCTTTTCTCTTCATAGAGCTTTACAAATATTAGTCATTAACACCATGGGAGGTAGTTAAATATAAAACACATTTTACATATGAGGAAAGCAGAGGCTAACAGCAAACAGACTGCTGCTCAAACAGCTTTCTGTAGTTTGAAATGTTAATCTTGTTCTCAGATCAGGAAGAGAGATAGTAAAAGCAGGATTACATTAAATTTTTTCCAGTACTGAGGAGATTCACATTTTGCCCCATCTTCTGATTAGAAATAGAACTGTTTTCAAAATATTTCCAAATGCAAAATGCAAATAATTTCAACATGGTATTTTCCTGATTTTGGTCAAAGCTACTGAAAGTCTGAACCATTGTACTTGTTTACCTTCCGGAATTGAGGGGTTTGACTTCATAATGGTGGTATAAACACTCTCCAGCTGTTAACCACATGAACATAATTTTTGTACTGGTTTATATATACATCCTTGCCTAGAAGGGTGTATATATGCATGTAGACTTAAGACATTAAATTCAAGAAATGCATTTGATCCACAGGGATCCTGAATGAGTGTGTTGCAGCCCTCACCTTAAATTCAGGAAAGTTGTACTGCCTTCTTTTCATTTTTAAAAGATGCTCCAGCACAGCAACAAAACCCACAGAATTCCTGCAGTCAGCATCAAAAACTCCACACAGTATATGAAGTACATGGCACATGATGTTAAAACAAGCAAGACTTCCAGTCTCTTTGAGCACCTATCATTTTGCATCTCTCCCTCAGAAATCTTCTGTTCTGTTTGATTCCAGTTGTGAACAGCGTGTTCTACAGACAGAGACATTGCTTTTTACAGATACTTGCTCCATTTTTAGAGCAAAAAGTCTGCACACATTCATCTCAGTAGCTGCCAGCTTTGGCCGCTGCTCATCCTTCCGTATGGACAAAGTCCACAGGCCTAAAGCACTCCCCGAGTTCATGTGTACAAGGGCAGAGCCCTGCAGCCTCAGCATACTCGGTGCTCTTTCAGAAATAGTCAGCACATCAACTAAACCAGACCTCCAAATTGCTTTCGGTTTTCTGCCTCCAGGAAACAGAAAGTTACTGCCTCTCATCTCACAAACCAGATCACTGTAGTTCATCTGTCGTGAACATCTCCCTAGGTAAGGGAGAAGAGCCAAGCAAAAGCTACAACAGTCATTTTTTTCCAATATCAAGCTTTTTATAATAAATTATCTACTCTCACAAGAACTAGAAGTGTACTAAAAAGCCCATTTTATGACAACGTTGCTTGATAGTTTCATACTGCAGTATCTTCATTGCTGATTTGCAAACCCCATGCATCTTCATCATCATGTATTCAATTTGCCTTTCTGTGGATGCTGTCACAACAACCACTTGCTCTGACAACCATCAGAAAAGGGGGGTGGGGAAGAGTTGGAGTCGATTAAATATTGTTCTTTCAACATCATATAGTCCTGCTTATTAAACTATTCCATTTAATCTTGAAACTAATTAGAAGCAATACTCCCAAAGAAACACAAGTAGGAACAAGATGGCTTCTGGCTGTTAAACCCTTCTAGCACCAAATATAAGTATATGCAAAGGTTACTGAAAAACCCATATGTTCTCATGCTAACACTACATATTATTTTAATAATATTAACACTTCTTTGGTGTTCATTCCTTCCCATTTAAAAATGTTTATAAAGAACAACTATTTACAAAAGCTAAGAGGGTTTCTTTTGGATTTTTAAAAATCTTTTCTTGTAAAGCAAGCAGTAGGTTGTACCTCCTAGTCATAAGTTTCCTCCCACTCAATTCAACTGTCAGATTAATTAACGTTCAATAAGTTTACAAGTTTAGTGATAAGGTATTATGAAAGCCTTGTATAATTGCATTAACTTTTAATGGAACTGGAAACACCTCACCTGTTGCCCCTATTAAAACACAAGTTAAACTGAGTGGCACTGACAGCCCTTAGTCATCCTGCAACTCACTAACAGAACACCTGGAGATTTTCACAACCCGACTGCACAGGGTGCTAGATAATGTCATCTGGGCTCCCTTCTCCACAACAGGTTGGAGCAGATGATCTTTGCACGTCCTTTCCCACTTGGGCTGTCTACAATTCTGTGATTCTGTATTGAGCTTTACATCTTATTACTTCATGCAAACTTGGTCATTTGAACCCAAATTCCTGTCAGCAGCTTCTAAGTGGATGACTTTGAATGTTCAAGTTACTTACACGTCACTTCTCTTTCTCAAGCTTCATTTCTTCTCCCCAAATGTATTGCCAAATTTTAGTAACATCTACAATTTTATACACTAAAAACTCCACTTCAACTATTATATATTCATGTAAAAAGTTAATTGATGCAATAATAGTGTAAACACATAACAAAACGTAAGACTGATTAACTTTGTGGATAAATCATATGTGTATGGAGTCTCTAAAAATCCCCCTCAGTAAAACTCACCGTTGATTCGTTACTAGCCTGACTCTTGTATTAATCCTATCATCATCATTTTAATAAACTGGATCTCATTGCCACTTAACTGTTTTATTGAGTATGGACTCTCTATCTAGACTTCCTCTGTTTAGAAAATACCTGTGAAAGAATGAAAACAAATATCAAAAGGTAAATGCACACTGCGTTTTATTCCATTTACTTCTATGTTTTCGCTTATTTTCTTCAAAATCTGTAGTACACAGTCTCCAATTCAATGCTTCTATTGATATCATAAGAACAAATGTTACTGGATTTGGAACTTCATGCACAGTTTTTCCAATGCTGTGAGATAAAGTTACTCTACATCCCCACCCTGAGTATACTAAATACAGTTTGTTCATGTATTCAATGGGATAATTTTTATCACACCCAGGGTGAACCCACCACAATAAAATACCAATAAATCAAAGGACAAAGTGCAGTAGTAATCTTAGATTTGTTTTGGTTTCTACAGTAAAAATTTCAGGATACACATGCTAACAGGTAACTGGTATTATTAGCAATAGTAGCATTTGGTCACACAACCATATACAGGAAATTAAATGTTTCCCATAATCCACAATAACACTTCTCACAAAACACTGTCTCAGAGGAGCACCTGACCTTTGGAGCCCAGAACAGGCTCGATGGTTTTGACAATAATACTCTCTTCACTCTGTTTTTTTCAGAGCTGGCTTCCAGTATGCTGATTTTACTGCAGACACACAGCCTAAGGCAGCAGAGACACGAAGGGATTCCTGAAGAAATCCAAAAGCTCCTAAAACCACTCACTTGAACAGTCTACAGCCCAGCCCACTCTCACTTGTAAGTTGCTGGGAGACAGATTTGTTTAAGGAGCTCAGGTTGATTTCCCTACCAGGTGAAACATTTAAAGCTGAAAGCATCACTAGCACATAAACCTACCTCAACATTCATCCCTACTCCCTTCCTCCAAAGCAACATGGCCTGCAACACCTGTATCCCAGTCTGCTTCATCACGTTTCGTTTTCACATCGTGTGCCAATAAGCCTAATTTGCTCATTTCCTTTGCCAAATTCCCTTGTTCTAACGCACAAAATTCTAGAGGAGAACTCTAATGTGAGTTCTCCTTCTAAGAACTCACCCAGTTTTCCAGCTTAACAAGGTGCAGCTTTTTGCCTGTTTTATTGCTTACCTGAGATCCACTCGTCAGCAGGACCTTTAAACTCTGCTTACCGCCCCTCCTTACCCAGTCACGATTCCACCGCTCCTGTGCCACCGGCCAAGGGGGCACGAAGCTCCCCAGCACCACCCGGGACCCCTCGCCAGAGCCAGGCCGCCGAGACAGGGCCGCCCACGGGCGACGGAGCCCCCGGCCGCCCCCCCCGCCCCCGGCCAGCCCCTTCCCCCGCGCTAGGACCAACCTCTCCGGGCCTTGCTCGGGCCGGGCGGGTCAGCAACGGGCGGTCACCCCGGCGGAAAGGCAGCGCCGGCTGTTGCGGTCCCTGCTCGGGCCCCCTCGGGCTCCCATCGCCTCCGCCCCCGGTATCGGCCTCCGCCACCGCGGGGAATTCCCAGTGCGCCGCCGCCGCTCCAGGAAGTCAACAAACGTCTCACGTGACGCGGGCCTCGGTCCGCCGGTCCCTCTCCCCCGCTCCAACGGGCGCCCGCTGCTCCCGGAAGGAGAGAGGCGGCCCCGGCGCCTCACCGGGACTACAAATCCCGGCATGCAAGCGGCCCGGCTCCCCGCAGAGCACGCCGGGAAGCCCGGCTCCCCCCGCCATGCCGCAGGCCGAGGCCTGGCTCCGCCCGAGGCGGGTGGCAGCTGCCGCCGGCACCGAGCGGCTCCCGCCCGGCTCCTGCCCAGGCGGTGAAGCCACGGCCCTAATCAATCAACACCGGGTGGGCTGGCCCCAGTTAACCAGCAAGTACGGTGGGAAGGGCAGTTCCCAGCAGAGAGAGCACAAAGCTCACTCTGAGCGCAGCTGATCCCAAACTGTGAAGGGTAGAAGACACCCAGAATCTTGACACCATCCCCTGGGACCCGGGCAGGGGAGAGAGAAAAACTTTTCCCTCTCCACGGGAGAAGGAAAAAATTCAACAAAGGAAAGCGTAGTCCACCTAGGGAGGAATAACCCCATGCACCAGTACAGGTTAGGGGTTGACCCGCTGCTCTGCAGAGCAGAACCTGGCAGTCCCAGTGGACAACAAGTTGACCCTGAGCCAGCAACGTGGCCTTGTGGCCAAGAAGGCCAATGGTCTCCTGGGGTGTATTAAAAGGAGTGAGGGAGATCATCCTCCCTCTCTACTCTGCCCTGGGGGGGGCCCATCTGGAGTAGTGTCCAGTTCTGGGCCCCCAGTTCAAGGAGGACAGGGAACTACTGGGAAGAGGCCCACAGAGGGCTACTAAGATGATCAAAGGAATGGAGCAGGTCTCTTACAAAGAAGGGCTGAGACCTGGGTCTGTTTTGCTCAGAGAAGAGAAGACTGAGAGGGGACCTCATCAATACTTACAAATATCTAAAAGGTAGATGTCAAGAGGATGGGACCACACTTTTTCAGTGGTGCCCAGTGACAGGGCAAGGGGCAACATGCACAAACTGAAACACAGGAAATTCCGTCTCAATGTGAGAAAAAACTTCTTTACTTTGAGGGTGACAGAGCACTGGAAGAGGCTGCCCAGAGAGGTTGCAGAGTCTCCTCCTCTGGAGATGTTCAAAACCTGCCTAGATGTGTTCCTGTTCAGCCTGTTCCAGGTGAGCCTGCTTTGGCAGGGGGCTTGGACTAGATGATCTCTGAAGGTCCCCTCCAACCTCTACCATTCTGTGATTCTGAACATAATGGCTTTTTATTTTTCTATTTTACATTCTTCAAACTCCAGCTTTTTGAGAAGTTTACACCTGTGCGCAGCTGAAGGGCTAGCAAGGCACCCAATCCACCATGTAACATCGTACACCCATACTCCCATTTTTTATATATATATATTATTTTTTTTTTTTTGTGCAACAGGCAGAGAGAAGCACCAAGGCAGAGGGTGACAAGATGCACCACGTTTAACGTAACATCATCTGACAAAAAACACAGCTTTTTCCCCTCAGCCAAGTTCAAAGTGAAGAAAGAATAAACCTAAATCACAGTTCAGGACCTCTGTCTTAGGGATTAAAAGCAAGCTGATCGAACAAGCCCAATGTAGATCTACAGGGGAGAGCAGCTGTACTCTTCAGGACTAATTTAAAACTAACAGGAGTTTCCTTTCCGGCTAAAAAAACAAGCAGTTTGCTTTTATGTTATGAGAGCTCTCTGGCCGAGTCCCAAAGGGCCTTTTGCAACTGTGCCACAAAGTCAGCTGGAGCAAGGGAAGTCTATTAGCATGCCAAATTGATCTATATATGGAAGAATATTGCAATATTGTGTACTCCTTAAATACTTAAAGGCCAAATGGAAACAGGACCTCACAGTCTGCTGCGGGTAGGGAATTGTTATTTGGACAAGAATCTCATTAAATAAAAAACAACAAACCAAAACCCAAATAAAAACACAAGATGTCCATTAATCATGTTCATAGACCTCAAAATAACTTTTTGAAATTTTCAGCACACTATTATTATTAAGATTTTCACCAGAAGTTTAGGTTAGATATAAAGTTTGCTTTTTTATGAGCAAAAGTAATACAGTGCTCCGTTTTCAGCTGTATTTAGAATCCTCCGTATCAAAAGCAGCATCCTCCTTTTAAGGTCCAAAAATACCATTTCCAAGTTAATGTCTCTTCTTGATAATTAATACTGCATGGATACAAATGTGTTTGTACGTTATTAAGCTACAGAACAGAGGTTTTATTACATAAATTAGCATTGATTTGAAATAGTGCCATTATGAAATCCAGAAGAAAAGCATATAAGGATTTGGGCCATCAAAGATGTCCACTATTTTTGTGAATAGCATTATAGATTAGTTAGCATATTTATTTTTACCCATGTACTTAATTTTTAGTCTTTTTCCCTTAATAAAATACAGCTGGGATCATATATGTGGTGCAACTTAAAAAAAAAAAAAAGACTAGCCCCAAGCAATGGCTAATATTGTAAAACCTGTTCTATACATCTAAAACCACCTTAAAGACAGTAATATTATAATTAACGTCAGAATTTATTCCCATAGTAGAGAGGGTTTTTTTTAATGTTGAATATTTAAGTGGACAACAGTTCATGGTGTTAGTTATCTTTTCTGGAAAAAACCCAGATACTTTAACTTCTGAAGAGAGAAAAACTAATTTTTTATCTTCCCATTTATACAGAAAGTACTAGAACTGGGTATGGATCAAGTTGATTACACTTGATAATCAAATTATCAAGTGTAAAAACATATAGTTCAGCTGAACATGGGCATACAATGTTTCCACTGAACAACTGTGGAATTAAGAAAAAGAAAAAAGAGAATTAAAAGTACCATTTGATTGACAGATTTTTCTTAAAACACCATCATGTTGCTATATAAGTCTTTTTAAGGTGTTTGGCCTAGATCTTGCAAGCTACCAAGCATTATTATCTAACTAGCAAGACATTTCTCTGCACTTCAGTTTGACATCCTACTTACAGCATGTGTTAAGCACATATAGTCGAATGTATTGCCAGGCACAAGCATAAGCCTGCAGGACCAGAATAGTGGACTTTTTAAACAAAATGAGAAAACCCCACCAAAACCAAATCCCAACTCCTTTCAAACTCTTGCAAATAACACAACAAATGGCCACAGGGATGTGGGCCAGAACATCCAGTATCAAAAGGTGTATCTTTAACTGAGACTAATAACTTTTAAGTTCTACATTCCAGTTTGATGACCCAGTTTGAGGGGTATGTTCCTTAAAGAATCTGATTCTATCGCTTCCTTTTCAGATTTTTCAGACTGGGTTTTTTATTACAGAACAGAGAAGTTAAAAATTCTATCACGGAAAAAGTGCTGATCAGCAATAAAATATAGTTCAGTATAAACTATATTAAACTAAACCACATCAGATTTTCCTCTAGAATATAGCAGATAGAAGATATAAGATCCAGAAATCTTAAGGCCTCAGATGACAACTAAGTAACTCTGATGCATTAGAAGTATGCCCCTAGTACAGCTTACTCCCTGTGATGTCGAAAGAACAAAGTTAAAAGTTTATCCCTAAATTTCAGATGGGACATGGTTGAGACACCATGGAGGGTCCCTAACCTTGACTATGATTAGAAATGAAACAATGTGTCTTATGTGTTCTTTTGCAGTTGCTGGCTTAGCCATAAGATAGCAAAAAATGTAACTTCTCCACCAAAGTCAAGCCAAGAGGGTACCCCAAACTAACCTTGGGTAATTACAACACTAAAATACATACCCCTTTGTGAATAATGAGCATGCTAATTGGGTAACCTCCCTAAATGTTTTAAACAGGAGCTTAGATGCATATGTATGCATATGCAGAGGCACAGGGAGTGAGTAATTATTAACCAATCAGCTGTATTTTATCATTATAAGTATTGGGCAGCTGGGAACATGTGGTGTCCCAGCTGTTGTTAACTGCCTGGCACCCAATTCGGCAGAATTGAAATAAAACCAAGTATCTTGACTCAGTGTTGATTGGCTCTTGCACGCCAGGTGAAGGACCCTTATTCAGGGACACCACCTGTAGTCTCTAGAATTCTCTTGACTATTGCTATTATGTGTGATTTAAACAGCGTGTAATTAGAAAGATACAATTTTTTTATTGTACATTATTAGAACAAAATGAACACAATACTAAAATCAGCACGCTATTAAACATATTAAGTTGGATTCACTCGGGCAGATGCAAAAGCTGTTTTAAAAAATCCTATCTATTCGTTCAGATTAGCTTAGCCTCCAAAATAAATGTGAGTAACCATAGGTTTTACTCCCTCCACATACAGTGCAAATCTTTGCAAATACAAAAATAAGTCACAGTTGCTCTCCTCAGATCCTTCTCTGTACTTGACACTGTATGGAACCAGCATAAAGATCATAAAACATGTCCTGCTCAAAGGTAATGCCTTAGCAGTCTTTACACTCTCTTTGCAATCCTTTGGTACCAGTCAAGGTAGGACACAAAGCTGAATTATAATAAGAAGTTGGAAGTGCTAAATACTAATACATTGTTGATAAAGCACAAGTAACATTTAAATACAAAGGGCATTTGCTGACTTTTAGCTATAGGTTAACCCTTCTGTATTATATTAAGCATAAATTCTTCTACAAGAGTCACTCATTTCTTTTTCAAGATATATCACTCAAACTGAAACACTGAATATAGTTTTCAAAGTTACAGCATAACTTTTCTTCAAATATCCGGTAGATTGAAGCTATTTCTACAATATTACATTTCATCAACTCATCACGGATCTTCAGACTGCTCACAATAGTAATTTGTAATAAACAAACAAAAGTATTTCAGAGAGAAATACAATATACACAGATGTATGCAAAACAGGATACCACTCCATTAATCCTTCAAACACTGTAAGAATGGAAGTGCAGAATTTTCCTGTCTGCAAAGTATGTCTTATGGAGAGGTCGATGGGAACACAGCTTTACACACATAAAATGTGGTAAACAGAAACTGGACTTCAACCAGTATGCATTTGTTTAAGGTCACTAGCTAGCTGTAGAGGTAGAAAAAAAGCAG